GAATTATTCTTGTTTAAAGTTTCAAAAAAATTTACTTAGAAAAAATATGGTGCGTTTCTACTGACTCACCCCCATATGCTATAGCCATAATATGTTTAAATTATATCATACTGTTATTCTTTCCTTTACTAGACATTTTTGAAGAACGTCCTCTATTTGGTATAGCATTATCTTCCATGCTTATAACTCTTGTAGTTTCAATACTTTCTTTAGTTTGTGCAGGCATTCTATTTACATGATATTACAATATTTATAAATCAATTCTTATACGATTTAAATTCAATAGAAAAGCATACCTAGAAGCATGGTTACGCAGTTTGCGGCCAGAATTCTGAGTGCCTCTACTATATTCGCTTAATTCATTAGCATCTTTGTCTTGGATTTCATAGTCAGCATTTTGATATTGAAGAGTTGTAAACGGAATGCGGGAAGGAGATGTCACATCCATATCTAAAGGTTGATCTAGATTGGTAGTCTGAATATATAATGGAGGTTAATATTTTTACATAACATAGTATTTTAATTTATATACATTAAGTTCAAGGCTAATTACAGATTTTTCAGTTTCATTTGATGGTGAAGGAGTAGAAATTTGAGAGGTCGATTGTACGGTATCATTTATTTCAACAGGTGGGTCTTAATTTTTAAAAAAATTAGAATTATAGAAACTAATAATTAATAAAGAAAAATTTTTTTTACCGGTCTTTTTTTTCTTATTATTGTAAGATAATTGATCTTTCATTTTGTGTTTTGCTGTATCCCCTATTAAAAAAATAAATTAATTAAGTGTTATAATTTTTATTTTAATAAATATTATGTTTTTAAAATATACATTTGTTGTTAATTATTCCTCGCATTATTTGTCTAATAGCCCAATTGCAGGTTGTAGATGGAAAGTTTAGATTTTTTCGCTTAAACTAAAATAAAAGTTAATTTAATTACTTTAAATAACAAACCCAATTAAATTATAATTTTATTTACTTTTTTGATAATTTCACTCTTTTCATTTTCTGATATTCTTCGAAATTCAGGAATCCCTTTTTCATATTTAGCTGTTAGCATCAAGCGAAGTGATTCCTAGATTAATCATTAAAAAAAGAAAAATATAAATAATAAAAATAGTAACAATAATAATAGTTAATAATTATACTACCCAGTAACTATTATAGATTGCTTTGTCCAATTTTAAAACTTTAGGAATATCAATATACGTTTTAATATTTGGCTTTTCAATTGGAACTAACCTTGAATCATAGTAGTAGTTTTTTTAGTAAATTACAGAATAGTAATATTAGTTATATATTAATAAGTAGAATAAAAACCTCATCATTAGAATTTTCTGTATCCGAACTAGAAGCAACTTTTTTTTACTTATTTTTTTTTAATTTGTTTTTTTTTAGATATATTATTATCTATATTATCTGAGCTAGTATTGAATTTTTGCTTCTCTGGCTTCCTATTACGGATAGTCTGAAGCCTTTCCAAAGTTTCTAATTGCTTAAATAAAGCTGAAATTTCATTTTGTGTTGAAGAAGACTCATCACTAATATCTGAATCTTGTTTACTTTCGTCTGTTTCAAGTTCTGTGCCAGGTTGGCTTAGTTCTTCTTTGTCACTTATTTTTTCTTTTTGCTTACTTTGATTGATTGTTTTTTTATTTTTATGAACCATATTTACCATTATGTAATAATTTATTTAATAGATAAACATTAAAAATGTTTATATCGATATATGGAAAAATTTTTTTATGAAAAAAATTAGCAAGTTACTCAATATAACCGAAAGATCTTAATCTATAAAAAAATATAAATTACATCATAAGTTTATGAAATAATGATATCATATAATGACCTAATTATATATTGCATAAATAATCTATCATATAGTTATTCGTATGATAAATTTTATCAAAAATTATGATTTTATGATATAATTAATTTATCATAGTTATTTTTAATAATAATTTTTATAAAAATTACGATTTTATGACATAATTATTAATTAATGTTTTTATATTTTTTTGTGAGTTTGTTATAATTTAACCAATTATTAATAGCCCAGTATATATTTAGTGATGATTGAAATTAACTACTGGTAAAATATACAAATTTAATATATATAGCATAAATAATTTATTCTATTAAGTAATAAAGAATTATTAGTATCATATGATATAATATAGGGGAATTTACATATAAGGGCCCGAAAAATGAAAGTAATTACAAATAAGGGCCCAAAGTGAAAATAATTACATA